AGATTCCAGTTATAAAATTTATTAGAAAAAATTCTACATACAAAATAGTTTGAATTTTTAAAATCGGATTTGAATTTATAAAATAGTAAATAGTGTTTGTAAGTAAAAACATGTACTATTTTGGATAGAAATAAAATGTTGCACTATACTATTTTGGATGTATAGAAAAACTATACCCTAAGATACAACCTTGGCAACCCAAGCAACCAGATAACATAAGTGGTATCTGAAAAATCTACTTTGTCCTTCTCATTTGTTTGTTATGTGATACAGAAAAAAAGAAAAAGAGAAGAGATTGAGAGAAGAAAGAAAAAGAGATGAGAGAGAGAGGAGAGAAGGAGAGACTTAGAATGAGGTGGAGAGAAAATGATAAATATGTTATTATTATATATAATATAGAGAGTATAGCTATTTTTTTGTCTTGTGTTACTTTCTTAATTTATAAGTTTTTGTTAGTTATTCTTGCAAATTTCCCTAGCAACAATACCCTTTTATCTTTTCCATTTTTAAAAATATCCCTTTCCTTGAACACAATGACCAAATTACCCTCATCTAATAGGAACATGTAATTGGAAACTGAAATTTTCCGACCAAATTTATTTTTCCCGCCAAAAAAACATTTCCGCCAAACTTTTTTCCCGCCAAAAAAACATATCCCGCCAAATTTTTTATTCGTAACAAATTTTTTTTCAGCCAAACAAATTCTTTCAAAAATCCTTGTAAATTTTTTTTGCGGGAAATAGATTTACAAGGGATTTTAAAAAGGGTTTTAAAAGATTTACAAGGAATTTTAAAATGGTTTTAAAATATTTACAAAGGATTTTAAAAGATTTACAAGGGATTTTAAAAGGGTTTAAAAGATTTACAAGGAATTTGAAAAAGGTTTTAAAATATTTACAATGGATTTTAAAAAAATATTTTAAATGGTTTTAAAAATATTTATACGAGTTTTAAAAGGTGTCTTCTTGTAAATTCTTTAAAAATCTTTTAAAAACCATTGTACATCTTTTAAAACCCTTTTAACCCCTTTAAAAATCTCTTGTAAATCTTTTAAAACCATTTTAAAATCTCTTGTAAGTATTTTAAAACACTATTAAATCCTTTAAAAAGTTTTAAAAAAACCATTGTAAATCTTTTAAAGCCCTTTAAAATCTCTTTTAAATATTTTAAAACCCTTTAAAAATCCCTTGCAAATCTTTTACAACCTTTTAAAATCCCTTGTAAATAATTTAAAACCCTTTTAAGACAATTTTAAACTCTTTCAAAATCTTTAAAAAACCTTTGTAAATCTTTAAAAAAACTTTGTAAATCTTTAAAAGCCCTTTAAATCCTTTCTAAATCTTTTAAACCCTTTTAAAATCCCTTGTAAATCATTTAAAACCCTTTTAAAATCCTTTGTAAATATTTTAAAACCCTCTTAAATCCCTTTTAAAATCTCTTGTTAATCAATTTCCAGCCAAAATTTTTTTTTGGGGGAACAAAATGTGTCGGGAAATTGTTTTTTCGAAAACATTTGGCGGGAATTTTTTTTTCAAAATTTTTTTGCGGGAAATTTATTTTGGAATATTTTAGACGAAAAATATTAATATTTTATTTTGTTAACCTAAAACAATTTCCAAATAGGGGTAAAATGGTCATTAAAAATTTAAAGAGGATAAAAATGAAAATGGCTAAAAAAAAGGGTAGAGTTGAAAAGGGGCATCACCAATTGCACCCCCTTTTTCTCTCAAAAACCTAATCGCCGTTTTTCTTTAACTCATTATTTTGGCTAGATCTAACCGACGCGTGGTGGCTCCTAAAGCGCCAGCGTCAGTCCCCTCTCTTATTCATTGTCTTTGCTTTCCTCGGCTGTGAAGCGTGGTGATTTTGGCGAGGTGTGGATTGGGTTGCATCGAATCTCAGATCTATCGAGGTTTGGTTCTATGAGAGCGAAATCGACGTGCCTTAAGGTAGATGGTGAAGATGGCGTCGTCGTTCTCGCCTCTGCCTCATGGTGTGGATCTTCGTCTTGTCTCTGGTCACGTGTTTCATTGTGTTTGGAGCACCGGAGGAGGCTCTGTCCTTCTTCCCTCACCGGATCTGAGCAACAACGGCTCTGTTCTCGGTGCCTCGGTCCCTCACTCGTCTCTCATACTTCCTCTTTGTGTTTATGTGTTTTGTTTTATAGAACGGTTCTAGTGACTAGCTTGATCTCTTTTTGGTTGTTGGACTTGTTTGCTCGTGCTCCCTGGTTCTAGTGGTGGTCTTTATGGTTTTTTCCCGGATCGATCTTGTGCTGCTCTCTTTTGAGATTGGTTTCATCCGGTTGAAGATTTGTTTCGCTCCTTGTTTCTACAGTTAAGACCTGATCGAGGTCTGGTCGGTTCAAAGGCTTCTAATGAGGCGTTCAATTGTACATCTTTTAAAACCCTTTTAACCCCTTTAAAAATCTCTTGTAAATCTTTTAAAACCATTTTAAAATCCCTTGTTAGTATTTTAAAACACTATTAAACCCTTTAAAAATCTTTAAAAAACCTTTGTAAATCTTTTCAAAGCCCTTTAAAATCCTTTGTAAATTGTTGAAACCCTTTTAAAATTCTTTGTAAATTATTTAAAACCCTTTTAAAATTCTTTGTAAATTATTTAAAACCCTTTTAAATCCCTTGTAAATATTTTAAAACTCTTTTAAATCCCTTTTTAAATCTCTTGTAAATCTATTTTCCGTCAATAAAAAAAAAATTGCGGAAAAAATATGTTTGAAAAAAAAATTTGGCGGAAAATTGTCTTTTCGAAAAAATTTGGCGGGAAATTGTTTTTTCGAAAAAATTTGGCGGGAAATTTTGGCGGGAAAAATATTTTGGAATATTTTACGAAAAATATTAATATTTCATTTTGTTAACCTAAAACAATTTCCAAATAATGGTAAAATGGTCATTAAAAATTTAAAGAGGATAAAAATGAAAATGGTTAAAAAAATGGTAGAGTTGAAAAGAGGCATCATGAAAAGGGCATTAAAAAGAATTTTTCATTAATTAATTGATAAATTAATAAATTTTATTTTATATACACGTTTTTGGTTGTGTATTGAGTCTTTTGCGATTTTAAGTACTTGTGACGGGATTGGATAGTTTTGGGCTTCCTCGTGTCAAAACGGGCAAGAGGAGTTAATTTTTGCGATTCTGGCGGTCTACTTTCAGCGGTCCACCTCCATATGTGCTTGACTGCCAGTTTTACCGAAGATTCTAGCAATCTACTTCCATCGGTCTACCTTCATTTGTTGCTCAACTGCCAATCTTACCGAAGATTCTGGCGGTCTACTTCCATCGGTCTACCTCCATTTGTTGCTCGACCACCGGTTTCGGTTTTCTTTAACCGAATTTATTTTCTATTTTCTATACTTGGGTATAAAACCCCAGAAACTTAATTTCATTGTCAAGGCTTCTTTTTCTACAACTTGTCTAGAGCTTTTCTTTGTAAGCAACTTTGGGAGAAGGATCCATCCTCTTTGACACTTTGGAGAAGATTTCTAATCCCTTTTCTTTATATTTAATTAATCTTTTATGTCTTCTTCAACTCTTTGTGTTGTTTATTTTACTATGAGTCAGTAGTCTCTTAATTGGGTTTTAGGGTTCTAAGTAGGGGATTCAATAAATTGATGATCTGATTGTTGTTTGGAATTCTTTATCTTTTAGTTCTTTGATTCCCATGTTCTTAATGCTAGAATAGGATTGATCACCCTGTTTTAGATTCTAGGTTTTTCTATGCATCAAAAGTGTTCGATAGAATGCCTGAACCAATGTGAATTGAGCAATGGATTTCTAGCCAACAATAATGAACCTAATTCTAATGCGAATTTGACTAGAAAATTACAAATGAAAGTTTAGTAGTCAAGTAGTCAAATTTAGTGATTAATGTCTTGAGAGAGAATTAGTCTAAACGTGTGTTCATGTTCGAGAACGGTTCTTTGTGCTGAATTCCTTGTCTTATATTTCCATTAATCATTGATCTCTGAAATACCGTATGGCTCAATGCTTTTTATTATATAACTTTAATCGTTTATTTTCTTGCATTTTAATTTATAATCGAGAAAACCAAACAAACAACCTTTTCGCTTTAGCTAAAAACGAGTCTCGGAAATCCTTAGAGTATCTTTGGTCCTTGTGGATTGACCTTGCATATACTACCTTTCAGTTAAGTGTATCGAGCATTTACTCGAGTAACCAAGTTGGCGCCGTTGTCGGGGACAAATTGCGTTACCTAAAGATTTAGGATTAGTTTTTAGTCTAAAGCATTTTTATTTACTGTTAATGATTATCATTTCCATGTTTTCTTTGGTGTTTTCAGGTGTATGACCCATAGCCAAGGCTCATCACACCTAGTACACTACCATGAGGATATCGGAAAGTTTGAAAGAGAGAATAAGAAAAAAAAGCAGTTATCAGTGCAGAGAGAAGCTGAAATGGTTGACCGTGCCGCTGCTAAGAATCTCCTGAATGAGGATGGACTCCAATTTGAAGGAGAACATCATGGAGAGTTTCAGGATCCACCACCTCCTGAAGCCATTAATCCTCCTACTGCTAGTGGAAAGAGTTGTCCGTGTAGCTGCTGCTAATGCTGCTCATTTAGCCGCGTTGAATGCTAGGCTTGCGCCTGTTCGACAAACTCTAGGAGATCACGATGCTCCCAATCTTGAATTTTTCCGAGACAGGAACCAACACCTCACTATCAACAGGAATGATTTTGAGATCAAGATCGGGTTGTTGACTCTTGTGAAGCATAATCAGTTTTATGGTCTTTTCTGTGAGAATCCGGTCTATCATTTAGATAATTTTGAAGATATATGTGGGACAACGAGAATAAATTGAGTGTCAGATGATCTTATCAAATGTAGACTATTTATATTCTCTTTGGCAGACAAAGCCCACCTCTAGTTGAAGTCACTGGACTCTACAAATCTAAGAAATTGGGAAGACTACAAAGCTGCATTTTTGGGACAGTACTTCACGCAGTTTAGGACACATGTCCTAAGGAATAAGATCATTAGCTTCCAACAAGGAGGCACAGAGTCATTCCATGAAGCTTGGGAGAGGTTTAAGGACTACTATAGGGAGTGTCCTCATCATGGGTTTCCACGAGGTAAATTAATTAGCACTTTATATAGGGGAGTTGACAAGGCCTACAAGATGGCATGAGACACTGCTAGCAATGGGGACTTCATGACCAAGACTGAAAATGAGGCTATAGAGCTAATTGAGAACAAGTAAACGAAAGCGCTAGGTCATCATGGTTTTCTCCGGGCAACATGGTTCAAATAAAGGTTTAGATTCCAATTCAGGTGATAACATGGTTAGGTTTGTTTACTTCCAAATTCTCAGACATACGAAACTCATTCAAGTTCGGCTAACCCTAACGGCTAGTAGGTGGAAGCCAGCTAATCTCCCTGTACCTCGCTACCTAGTTGCCTCACGGCTAGGAGCCCGAACATGGTAACGACATATTGATCAAAGCATTAAGTTCAAGTTTGATTCTAGTCCATAAGCCCCTATAACTTGGCGGTTAGCAACGGTTATAGCACAATATTCGTGAGTTAGTTCAAGCAATTATACGAGATTCTGCCAAGTATAAAGTACCTCACATGTCAAGACTCTTGAGAGTCAGGTCTCTCTGATTGTTTCTGCCTCTCTGCGACCAGCTGGTTCTCATTCTGGAAAAGTAGAACCCATGGGTAAAGAGCAGTGCTATGCTATTATGATCCAGGAAGAGCCTAGAGAGATTGATTTCGCCAAACAGGTGGAAACTAATGTTGTCGTAGTTGAGACAATTGTGGAGGAAATGATTGCAGAGGATGATGAACTTTTATTTGTGGAGCCGCCACCCTATATCCCCCTAAGTTACCATTTCCAGGCCGTGCAAGACAGATTTAAAAGAAGAAAGAGTATGCACGCTTTGAGGAAGACAGATCATGAAACAGTTGTATGTCAGACTCCCTTTCTTACAATTGGTTCTCCATGTTCCAACCTACAGAAATTACTTGAAAGATATCTTGTCCAACAAGACAAGGGGTTAAGTTGATGTCCAAAGGAGAAGAGTATGCTTAGCTGGAGGAGTCTGAGAGACAACAGAAGGAATCTTAGCTCACTGATGTAGTAGAGGTGTTAGCTGGGAAAGAGATGGTCAGTACATGTAGTGCCATCCCTCCAGCTACTATTCCCGAGGAACTCGGTGATCCAGGAAGTTTTGTTTTACCTTGCCGGATTGGAAAGTCTATGTTTGAGAGATTTCTTTCTGATTTATGAGCTGGAGTTAATTTGATGCCTCTTTCTATGTCAAAGCGCCTAGGCATCACATCAATTAATTTGATGCCTCTTTCTGTGGGATATCCAGTGGGATTGGCGGAGAATGTGCATGTTAGAGTTGGAAATTTCTACATTCCAACTGATTTTGTTATCATGGAACTTGATAAGGAACCACATGATCCTCTCATTCTTGGTAGGCCATTCTTAAACATTGCAGGAGTTATAATTGATGTGAGAATAAGCACGATCAACCTGCAAATTGGGGACTATGCTTTGGAGTTTGACATGAGAAAGACTAGGAAAAATCCCACAATTGAAGGTCATGCATTCTTTATAGACACAAATGATGAGCCTGGTGCTGAATGTGTAAAGGATTGCATTGAGTTGAATGATGTTGAGGAAGTCCTGGATGGAGACACAAAAGACCCTCATGTGACCTTGATACCATTGTAGCGTGTAGGAGACACCATAGAGTATAAGCTGCAGTGTAAGGGAACCTCGAAACCTTTCACCAAAGCTAGGAGCATTCTCAATTCGGAGTGAAAATAGAAAGGTAGAAAAGCTGTGAAGTGTGGTTGGTAAAGTTCTAAAGTTGAAGCTGAATGATTGGGGACCTTGTTGTGGAGCAAGTTCCGCACTTGTGCCCATTGATTCACAAGAATCCGGTCAAGCTAGTGACATAAAACAAGCGCTTAGTGGGAGATAACCCACCATGTATTCTCTTTACATACCTTCATCTTTGTTCTTTCTTGTTTCCTTTTGAGTATGTCTAGCAACTTCTTTTCGAATTGTTTTCACATCGAGACGGTGTGAAGCAAGTTGGGGGGGGGGGGGGGGGGGGGGATGTCATTTGTCTACTAATCGAGTTTGCTTTGGTTGTTTGTTTTGTTGCTTTTGTTCGAGTCAGTCCTTTTTTTTATCGAGTCAAAACCGTGTCTTTTTATTGAGTTAAAATGTTATGAGAACTGTGATCTTTTCTTAGGGAATTGCATCATGCTTGATTTCATTGCCTTGGGACCATTTTAGCATTATTCGATAACTTGAAAGGTCAGGAAAATCCATCACTAGATCGCTTTATAGTAGTCCTTATCTCTTTGAAATTTGGATGAATTGAGTTTTATCTTATATACTTGACCTTAATCTGGACTTAATTTATCTCACTTAGAGGCTTGAGAATCATGTAATGGATCATACATTCAGAGTCTTGTTTGCATCATTTTTATCACTCTTTGCTAATTCTGAATGACTAGACTCATTTTTAGTCTAGTACCACACTTGTTCCCCCACCCATTGTTTGAAACCTCATGCACTCTTATAAATTCATTATGATATGCATCCATGTGCGAAAACTACGGAGTATACGGACCAACATAGCTTTCTTGCTAGGATAGTGAGTTGTAGTTTGCTAGTTGTTCATATGGGATGAGATTTGACCATTATAGTTTAGATGTTGTATTTATTCATGGGTATGAGATGTTATGCTGTTTGAGTTCTGCCTGATGCACATTTTGTTAGACATCGGTTCCACTCCTCCGTCTTTCAAAAAAAAAAAAAAACGTTAGAAAGAAAAAAAAACGGGAAAGGAGAATGAAGGAACCGAAAATGTCGAGTTGTTATTATTCATATAAATAAGCATCATAGGAACTCATTGATTTGATTGGGATAATGTGTTGGTTGGTTTGATTCGAACTTAAGGGAAGCTATGTACCTCCTAATTGGTCTGTGTCTCACTGTGATTTTGCATAATGACATGCATCCACTTTACACTGTTTGAGAACCCGAAACACTTGAGCCACCAAATAATGGCCTTCCTACCAAGCCCATAACAGGTTCGATACCCCCATTGTGAGAGTACACGCCTCTGCTAATGAATGTTAACAGGTTAAGTTATATGATTCTGAAAGTTCTTTTAGATCTTGGGACTTAATTTTGTCACTACGGCTTTGGCAAAGTACAGTCTAGAACGGTTTGATGAATTTTGTGATGGTGGTTTGCAGGCAATTGATAAGAGCATGATCCAAAGAAAATATGAGTTCTCGTGTTTTCAAACCTCTTTTCCTTATAAAGATTTTTTGTTTTCCTTGAGGACAAGCAAAGATCTAAGTCGGGGGGAGTTGATATGTTGCGTTTTTGGTGTCTTAGGTCCCTTCGTTTTGAGTCATTTATCGTGTCGTAGTCCGTTTTTTGCGTCTTTTGGTTGTGTCTTGAGTCTTTTGCAGGTTTTAGGTACTTGCGACGGGATTGGATAGTTTTGGGCTTGCTCGTGTCAAAACGGGCGAGAGAAGTTAATTTTGCGATTCTGGCGGTCTACTTCCAACGGTCCACCTCCATATGTGCTTGACTGCCAATTTTACCGAAGATTTGGCAGTCTACTTCCAGCGGTCCACCTCCATATGTGCTTGACTGCTAGTTTTACCGAAGATTCTAGCAGTCTACTTCCATCAATCTACCTCCATTTGTTGCCAGTCTTACACTACAAGAAAACAGGTGATTGACGACCTACAAGTCAGTCGTTTAGTAGTCGTAACTAAAGATAATACGACTAATTTGCGACTAATGACTGTAGTCATTAATCCATAGTCGCTAAGAACAGTAGTCGTTAATTAGTCGTTGGTCAACGACAATAATACGACAACTGACTAAACAGTGAAAGATCGTCGTTACGTAGTCGTACTATGTCGGCGACTAATTGACGACCATCCTACGATTATTTGTACTGTACAGAGCGTGTGAGAACATGGAGTCGTTTAGTAGTCGTTAATAGTGTACGACGACATTACGACTATGTTGCGATTAAATATTCTAAACCCTGGGTATGTTTTCAGTTGTCGTAAAATGGTCGTAAATATGTTTACGACGATTCGACGACTCTTTGACGATTAAAAGTACTTTACCAAGGATTTGAAACTTTTTGTCATAACATAGTCGTAGAAGTGTATACGACTATTGGACGTCTGTTTTACGATTCTTTTATGACTAATTTGTTTAGTCTTATGATTGTCGTAAAGTTATGTGACTAATTGACGACTATTCTGCGACTATATTGCTACTTATTTACTACTTTTTTGCGACTAATAGTTTGGTCCGAATAAAGATTTGGTCATCAATTGTTGGGTTTCTTGTTGTTCTTGTTTGTTCATCGATTGTTCTTGTTTGTTATTGATATGCTATAAAATATGAAAAAACACTGCTCATATATTGAAAATTAAGTTCAAAACATAAAATTATCTTGTTCAAACATACAACTTATTGAATGATACAACTAGTGTTTGGAAACCTAAATTCTATGGATCATTAGATGGGGGAGTAATTGGGATACGCTTTGTGGATGTGGAAGAGTGTGTGGCAATGAAGTCCAAGAACTGCGGATCGGTTTGGCGAAGATACTTCTCGACTAAGGACAAGTGCTCGAGCTTGTCCTTTTGCTCAGTTGTGACTCGGGCTGTCTCGGCTTCTCGGGCAGCAATCTCAGCATCTCGCTTCTCGTTATATGCAGCCTGTTCTTCAATTTGCCGCTGAGCTTCCTGCAGCCGTTCTTCTAAGGCTTTAAAGGTTGAGTCTCCGGGGAGTTGGCAGTTGGCACTGCCTAGAGTTTCTTTAAGACAGCCAAGTCCATAAGGATCGCCTCTTGCATCCCTTTCTTTGGACTGCAAGAAATAAAGAGGAAGATAATTAGTGACAGATCCTAAATGTCTCTAACACTCTCAAAAAGACAAAGAACATCTTACCCCAAGAAATATGGCTGTATACTCATCTAGTGTGAGATCCCGAGGACGTGAAGAGCCATCAGACACAGCAGAAGCAGCCGCCTCTAGTTCAGACAGCTTCTCTC